ATCAGAACATCTTCAAGTATTTGCATTTGTTTTTGTGCTTGAGTTGGGAATTTAAATAAATCACATAAAGTGCTAAAAGACAAGGTGCCAGGTCCAGGCAGTCCCTGCAAAACCCTGGCCTGCCCTGAACAAGAACATTCACAGTATTGGAGCATTTCAAAACCTTTAAGATGATAGTTGCTCTTTATGTGCAAGATTTGAAACACATACCACACAAAGTGGTAAATAAAAAATGATTCCAAGTTGAAAACACAGAAGCCAAAGCCTAGATGGTGACTTTATATGGAACTAGGATTGGGACAATATTCAGCGTAACTTGTGCCAAGTTTTGTAACTTCGAATATGTTTCATCACATGTAACTTTGGATTCGTAACTTGTAACTTTGGATTCGTAACTTGTAATTCTCAATTCGTACTTGTATTCTTGTTTTGTAACAGGAACATTGTATTTTGTACATGTATTTTTTATTTTGTAAAATCAAACATTCATTCAGAAACATGAAACATTTGTTTTGTAACTATCAGACTTCCAAATAGAAAAAATCAAAGTACAAGTTTGAAATCAAAACTCTCAAAACACACATTTCATTCTACAGGTACAAACCTCAAATCCTACAGTGTTACGTATATTTTTGTCTCGATTCTAGCGTCAGTGGGGAGGAACTTGGGAGGAACCAATGAGAGCACGAGTCTTGGCTACCAATCACGTTTCTCGAATTCCTGTCCAATCATTGGGAGAGGAGGGCAGAGCTGTAGAGACGACACTCCGAATGTCCGAATCCACAGGAAGGGTGCTACGGATTCTTGCCGGTCTAGCAAGGCCGGGTCCTTGAAGACCGCTAAAACCGGAACCCAGCGGCTCTGAATTCGGACAGTCTAGCCTTCACCTCTACGCTGACCCGTAGGTCCCGTCACAGCCGTGGCGGCAGCTACACGCAAAGGAAAAATGCTAAAGCTAGCGAAAATGGAGCAGGAATATTAAGGAGCTACAGCAGCTTCACGTCCATCAGCAGCATTTGTTCACAACCGTTTTCAGGTAAAGTAACTTTGTTTATTCTAGAAGCTTTCAGGACTTACATGTTAACTTTAGATGGCTTCATGTATGTTTTAAGCTACAGAATGAACTTGTTAAACGTACACAACACATTTCTACTGAGTATTATCATTTGGGGAATTAATATAAACCAAATGCATTATAAATGTTGAATGCAGTAGGATGTTTTCTAATGTAAATTGGACCTTAGAACTCATTCTGTATCAAATGAGGGTAAAACGTTTTAAAAAACAGGCTTTTTAATAAAATAGCATTGAAAAATAGTCTTGTGCTTTATAAAAATAAGCTTCAACAAACTAGAACTGCTTATTTTTCAGCATTAATTGAGGAGAATAAGCATAATCCTACATTTCTTTTCAGTACAGTTGCTAAACTTACACAGAATCATAGCTCTGAGCCATCTATTCCCTTAGCCCTCAGCAGCAATGACTTCATGGGATTTTTTACAAGTAAAATTAATTCTATTCGAAACAAAATCTTTAGCATCCTCCCTAATGCAATTTCTTCTTCCTCAGTAAGTGAGGCAGCTTCAGAGGTGACTGTAGAACCTCATCTGTGCTTGAACCGTTTTGATCCAGTTGAGCTTTCAGAGTTATCAAAAATATTAGCTTCATCTAAACCTTCAACTTGCATTTTGGATCCAATCCCAACCAAATTATTTAAAGATGCATTTCCTTTGGTTACTGCCCCATTCTAGATATAATCAATCTATCCTTAGTAAATGGGTATGTACCACGAGATTTTAAGGTTGCTGTAATCAAACCTTCACTTAAGAAGCCTTCTCTGGATCCAGATGACCCAATGAATTATAGACCAATATCTAACCTTCCATTTTTATCAAAGTCCTGGAGAAAATAGTGGCCATCCAAGTATGTCAGCATTTAAACACTAATGCTCTGTTTGAGGAATTTCAGTCTGGTTTTAGAGAGTATCACAGCACTGAAACTGCATTAGTGAGAGTTACAAATGATATTCTCATGGCCTCAGATAAGAATCTTGTGTCTGTTCTAGTCTTGTTAGATCTCAGTGCTGCCTTTCACACGGTTGATCACAATGTTCTTTTAGAAAGACTTGAACATGTTGTAGGGATCAAAGAAACAGCGTTAGGCTGGTTTAAATCCTACCTGTCTGACAGATTTCATTTTGTAAATGTACATGACAAATCTTCTCCATACTCCAGGGTTACTTGCGGAGTACCACAGGGTTCAGTGCTTGGACCAATTCTTTTTACTATATATATGCTCCCAATTGGTAAAATCATTAGACAGCATGGGATAAACTTCCACTGTTATGCTGACGATACTCAGATACCCTGATGAACCTAATCGGTTGGGTAGATTACAGGCTTGTCTTGAGGACATAAAAAATTGGATGACTCTAAACTTCTTGCTTTTAAATCAAGACAAGATGGAAGTTCTCATCTTTGGACCAGAAATCCAGAAAAGGAAATTGCTTAGCCAATCGCCTGACCTTAATGGCATTACATTAATCTCCGAGAACAAAGCAAGGAACCTTGGTGTTATCTTTGACCAGGACATGTCATTCAAATCCCAGGTTTCACGTTTGTAGGATTTCCTTTTTCCACCTTCGGAATATTGCTAAGATTAGAAGCATCCTTTCCAGGAGTGATGCTGAAAAACTAGTTCATGCATTTATAATATCAAGACTGGATTACTGTAATTCATTACTCTCAGGAAGTCCACAGAATGTAGTTAAAAGTCTTCAGCTTGTCCAAAATGCTGCAGCTAGAGTTCTGATGAGAATTAAAAAGAGAGATCATATCTCTCCTGTCTTAGCTTCCCTACATTGGCTACCTGTTAAATTCAGAATAGATTTTAAGATCCTTCTTCTCACATATAAAGCTCTTAATAATCAAGGTCCATCATACATCAGTGATCTGATTGTTCCATATGTTCCTAACCGAGCATTTCACTCTCAGACTGCAGGTTTACTGGTGGTTCCAAGAATATCTAAACTTAGGATGGGAAGCAGATCTTTTAGTTATCTGGCTCCTCTCCTGTGGCACCAGCTCCCAGCTTTAGTCCGTGAGGCAGACACTTTGTCTACTTTCAAGAATAGGCTTAAAACATTTTTATTTGATAGGGCCTATGGTTAAAATCTGATGTTAGCCTAAATCTGGACAAGTGGGGGAGCACAGGGAGGTGGAGTGTACAGTCGGTAAAGACGACTCTCCCTTGCCCTGCCTCCATCTAAATAGGATAGATTATCCAGAGTTATCTCTGTAGTTATGCTGCTATAGGCTTAGACTGCTGGAGGATACACTGACCACTTTTCACACTCTACTGCTTTATTCTACAATCTGCTCTTTAACTGTACTATTTTGTGCAATTTCAGCTGTTAACTTTATTTTCTCTGTAAGTGTTTTTCTCCCCAGAAGAAGCTACAACGACGTTCTGCTGAGCTGTGGTGGCCTCATGGAGGGGGCCATCGACTAGCACACTGCTGCTAACCACTTATACATTCTCTCTCTCCTGATAATAACTTTTTGTTTTCATTGACTTTTGATGTGCTACTACTAGTTTATCCGTTTAATTATAGATCCACTAGGATAAATACAATAAAGCTTATCTTTCACCAAATACAATATTTACTAAGAAATCACAACATAACTATAGACACATTACTTGTGTGTGTGTGTGTGTGTGTGTGTGTGTGTGTGTGTGTGTGTGTGTGTGTGTGTGTGTGTGTGTGTGTGTGTGTGTGTGTGTGTGTGTGTGTGTGTGTGTGTGTGTTCTGTCTTCTCGATCCCCAGTGAGTCGTGGAGGATGGCTGCTTATACTGAGCCAGGATTCTCTGGAGGTTTCTTCCTGTTAAAAGGGAGTTTTCCTCTCCACTGTCGCTAAATGCTTGCTTGGTATGAGGATTGCTGACACTAGTCAGTGACTTGATGCAATTTGCTGGGTTCCTTATATAGGAAACATTATTTCTGATTGGCTTAATGAACTGACCTGAATTGGAATGTTTATTATGTGAAGTGCCTTGAGACGACTCTTGTCGTGATTTGGCTCTTTATAAATAAACTTGAATTGAATTGAACTGTTTTCAATGTGCTTTTGTTTATTCAACTTAAGCCTAATAATGATTAGATCTGTCTTAAAAATGTAAATTCTCTGTAGTTTTCCCTGCTGCTTTTCTTTAAACTGAACAGAACCAGTGTACTGCAGGTTATATGTTTTGTTGTACATGTTTCTATAAAAAACAAACTCTTATTTAATCTATTACAGGTCAGCATGCACTGTGCTGCACATCTGCCTCTGTGCTGGTGAAGTTGTGGGTCTGGAGGACGAGCGTGAGGAAGGTGTGTGTGGAGGAGGTCAGTGGTGCTTGGTCCTGCAGGAGGTACCAGCAGACCACCACTACTGTTAACAGGCAAGTCATTTATGTAGGAACCTCTATTAAAAACAACACTGTGGTTTTATTTGCTGAAGAGTCACAATTGTTATACCAGCGGATCCATAAACCATCTCCTCATTTCATATTTCTGAATACATCTTAGAGATGTAACAGTCGTCGTCTGAGCCAGCCCAGCAGGCCCTGTAGATGGACGATGGAGTGGACAGTGAGAGGAGGCGTCCCAAAGCTCTCTCTGCAGACCGTCCTGTATGATGTTCCTCTGGCCAGAAACGTCCAGCCACGGGTCTGCTCCAGCCCTCCATCCACGTCTGGATCCTCCTGCAGCAGATCCAGCTGCACTGTTACAGACTTCCTGCTCACTCAGTTTAAATAAATGATCCAGGAAGAGTCACTCAGGTTAATCCTGCTTTAACCGTACAAAACTGGTCCATACTGGTTTTGATCTGTAAATAAGTGTAACCTATTATAAATAATCTTGTCTCCTTAACAGCTTTTCATTTTCTGTTCATGTAACATGTTCAAAAACATCTGTAATAATAAAACTGGTGATAAAATCAATGACCAGAAAGAGTTATCGGTTAGTATTTGTTTTAATAAATGTGTTCAAATATCAAACAGCTAAATAACATTAACATGATGACAGTAGAAGGCCTCTCTCCCAGGAGGACCACCAGGTAAAGCCTCTCCTGACCCTGGACACCTGCAGTCCTACAGAGAAAATCAGACCACAGGTGACAAAAAGGCAATAAACACATTTTTACATTTATCCACACGAGAAGATAAAAATTATATTCTTCACACAAACTTTTTACTTCATTAAAACGTGTCAGCTGTGTAAATCCCCGAATGTAAAACTACTTTTCACAGAAGAACTTCTGTGGTTTTGTGTGTAAACAGCTTCACTCTTCACCTCTAAGCTTAATAAAAACGCTTCTTTGCTCTGTTGTCCTTAAAACAAATGACAAATTTAATTCGCCACACACACACACACACACACACACACACACACACACACACACACACACACACCAACGGGAATAACTACGGGACCCGCGATACAAACGCGTTCTGGCTGATTTCTGCCTAAAATGTAATTTTAAAAACAAATATACAAACGAAAAATGTCTATAAACTGAACCGCTTTAAGCTTTTTAGGTTTCTACGGCTAGTTTTTAACAAACTTACGTTTAAAACTTCGTAGCTCTCCTCATTTTCTCTGCCTGTTGAAAATCCACAGCCGGCGCGCAAAGCATGCTGGGATAGCCTTGTTCTGTGAGGAGACATGAAGCGGTTAGCTAACGCTTCACAATGCAACAAAATGATGACATTTCATCAACTGACCAGAGAAAATCTTTCCGAAACACCGAAAATAAACTGCAGTCAATGCAGCAGCGGGGCTGTTTGGAACTATTCGAAACTACATGAACCACGTTCATGTAGACTTCCCCATTCCATAGGAGTCTATTGGAGTGTCATAACTCTACAGCTCTGTCAAAACCCTGCCCTCCTGTCCCAATGATTGGACAGGAATTCGAGAAACGTGATTGGTAGCCAAGACTCGTGCTCTCATTGGTTCCACCCAAGTTCCTCCCACTGACGCTAGAATCAAGACAAAAAAATCTGTAACACTGAAGGATTTGAGGTTTGTACCTGTAGAATGAAATGTGTGTTTTGAGAGTTTTGATTTGAAACTTGTACCTTGATTTTTTTTTTCAATTTGGAAGTCTGCTAGTTACAAAACAAAAGTTTCATGTTTCTGAATGAATGTTTGATTTTACAAAATAAAAAATACATGTACAAAATACAATGTTCCTGTTACAAAACAAGAATACAAGTACGAATTGAGAATTACAAGTTACGGATCCAAAGTTACATGTGATGAAACATGTTCGAAGTTACAAAACTTGGTACAAGTTACGCTGAATATTGTACAAGTTACGTGGAATATTTTCCCAATCCTAGTTCCATAACTTTAATACCCCAGAACAAGAACAGTCTCATCTATAGTGTGAAGGACAGAAGACGGGAGTTGCCAGATTCTGAGGGCGTGGTGACTGGACGCCAGCTGGTCCTTGTTACAGGTAATGGGGCCGGAGAGAACAAAAGGGTGGCAGATCTACCAAGGTGGGGTGTGTGGTCGACCTGTATTTGTGGCAACAGATCCTGGGGGGTAGCGTCGATCGCAGTTGTTTAGGACTGTCGGCGACGAAGATAGTTGAGCAGGTGGGCACTGTTCCAGCGATAGGAGGGAAGGCTCGACTCCTTCTTGAGGTAGCAAGGGCTGGGAGTAGTTGGGTGCCGAGACCACGCCGACATCTGCCGCCACAGACTCTGGCAGCCGGACCTAAGTTGTGGATTTACCCGCCATCTTCGCAAGCTGAGCCCCGGGGCGTTGGACGGTGTTGGAAGCTCTGACCCCGGGGAGGGGGTCGCATCAACTGGGACAGCTAAGTACTGCTGCTTGCTTTTATTTATGCTGATCAGCTGGCTTTTAATGTGAAGGACCAGTGTTTTATTGTTGGTTGTGATGGTTTTATTATTGCTGGTGTGAATAAAGGCTCTTTTGGATAAGTTGTTGCCTACTGGTGCTGTTTTCGGGTTCTGGCTGGAGGGCACGATATTCTGCCCGTGCTCCCACTGAAACTTTCATTACAATACTAATGTTTCTAACGTTTCTACAGATTCTGAGGCAAAAACGCCAGCCTGTCAACTGCTTCAGGTCTGAGTGAAGCCCGGTGACATGTGACCACATTTCCACTTGTACTAAATACCCTTTCTGATGGGGAACTAGTTGCAGGCACACACAGATACTTTTTGGCCAAGTTTTTCACATTTGGGAATATTCATGGTCCTTCCACCACTGCAAGGGATCAGTTTCACTGTCAGCACTCACAGACTGTAGGCAGGGAGAGAGTTCTGCATTTACCAACCGTCTGAGTGATGATGTGGCTTGGGAGGAGGAAGTTTTCACCTTTTTAAAGAAACTCCCAAGTGTTTTCTTTTCCATTGCATCTGGCTCTAAAAGCCCTGGTGTTTCACTGGCCTGTGAGGCACATGACCCTGCTGCACCCTGATCAGACACATCATCTGCCTCCATCTCCATTATGGCTTTGCCCTTTATTTCCTCCAACTTGTCTGCAGAATTGTAAGTTGTTTTGAATCTTGGATCCACCAATGAGGCCATGTCTAGCAGGGCATCAGTGGAAGATCAGCAAATTTTCACAAAGGTAATCCAAGATGGAGGCTTTGATGGACTGGGTCAGTGGGGTGTCATCTTCATGAACGGCCAAAATGCTGGAATGGACAAGGTGCAGCCCAGGTTTGACATGGGACACTGTGACATAATCCTCCCCTGAAAGGGGAATTCCACAAGGGGTTTTAGTGCCTTGTGCACCGATTCAAGCACTTCAGATCAAGATGTCGTGTTTTTTTGTCTGAGGCCAGCTGAGAAATGGCTCGCTCTCGCTCCAATACCCGGCCAATCATTTAGTAGCGAGATCCCCATCGAGTCGGAGACTCGCTGATCAGCTGATGTGCAGGGATCTTCAGTTCTTGCTGTGCAGTGGCTAGATCTCTCCTCTTCTTCCAACTGAACGAAAAAGTGCTCATGATCTTGCAAACAGCAACAGCACACTCGATGCGATGGTCTTTCATGCTTCTCTCTGAAAATAAAGAAAAACACAAATTATGTTGCATTGTAAGTAAATTCAGTTAAACTATCACCCAGCCTAGCATCAAAATATTACATAAAAATAATTTCTGATATGATATCAGCTTGAAGCAATTGTTCTGGACTGTTTTACATGTTGTTACACTCTGTGGATTAATTAGGCAGGTATGTAACAGTTTACTAGGATGAAAATCATGCTATACAACATTTTAGATGTCAGAAAAATAACCTTGCATCAAACTTTAATCTTAATTTTTTTATGTTCCTGTAAAGAAAAACTAAGAATATTCTTAGTTACGATTTAATTCATTGAATAAATCAAATGTTAGCTTGTTCATGTATACTGCTGCTCAGAGTCATTTCTATTTACGGAACATAAAACTACTACAGGTGGGTAACAACTTACTCTTACATTTACTTGAGTAACATTTTGTAAAAACACTTTTAGGAGCATTTTTACTACACCATATGTTTTTATTACTTCATTAACATTATTCTGAAGTATTGCTGCTCTTGGGTAAAATTTCAGTATATTTTAACATCAATTAATTAGGAAAAACATACTTTAACAAAAATCCATCAAACACAGACACGTACGGTTTTTAATAAAGTGACACCTCCTGTTTTTACAAGGTTTGTTCTGTTTTTCAAGCATTACATCAGGTCTTCTGTGAATAAACAGTTCTCAGTACTTAAGATGCATTTTTTTTACTTTTGAGTAATTTGTTGGATGGACATTTATGATACTCACCAACTGCAAGGTGCAACCGGTGACCAAAATACTGCAGCCTGGTCCAGCCTGGTCCACCCGTTCAGCTTTGTTTGTTGCTGGGCTACGTTTTGCCTCACCGCCGTATACAACTGTGGCAGCGCTTTACGAGAAAATAAACATCCCTCTCTACAATAGAATAAATCTATTGTATTTTTCAGCCTTATATTTTACATAAGGCTTATATATTCCACATACTAGTCACTTAACGTATCTTATTTTTATTTTCCTAATCCTGTCGGCTTTGGAAAGGATCAAAACACAAAAGTGTAAAACTCAAAAGTATTTTAATGCCAAAAATCAGGTGACAGAAATAAAATCAGGTAGCTAGGACGCTGAAACCAGCAGAGTATGACTGAAACTGAACCGTATGCACTGAGGAGTGAGAGATGACAGAGGACTAGTGTGTAATATAGAAATAAGTTAGCATCAAAAAGGCTGAGAATGAAGGGTTTAATCTTAAGAACATTTGTATTTATTTCTTTTTTTGTGAGGGAGATTTATCGGCCATTATATCGGCTATCGGCCTTTGTTAAAAGTTTTATATCGGTGTCGGTATCGGTCCCAAAACAAGCATATCGGTCGGGCCCTAGACGTAACCAAAGGGAGTTAGAAGCTAGGCTGCCTCAGCTCAGTGTGGAGTGGCTAGTTTTAGGGTAGAGAGGTGATCCAGGCAGTGTGTGTTTACTAGTGTTGGGTTGTGTTCATGTTGGTAAACAAGAGTGTGTGAAGGCTGTACCAACTCCAGCCTGTTTGGACATCGAGTCCCCGGGTTTCCAGATCAGAGGAACAGCGCCTCTATCTCCGTGTCTGAGGGTGTTTAGTGCAGCTGAAATGACGGACTTCTGTAGCCCACATCGGTCGGTACCGGGTCAGGGAGGTTCGCGCTGGGCTCCAGAGACCCGTGGCGAGGTTTAAAAAATTAAATGCAGATTTCTGGAGCTCAGATCACCATCGGAACCAGGTCAGAACCGACCAACAGAAGAGACATGTGGCTCTGTGGGCTAGTCGAGCTGGTTTATGGGTTGGAACCGGATCAGAACCGCCGCGGACCTCCAGGGAAGGATCGTATGCAGCTTTTAAAAATATTAGCTCTACTGGCTCGCTGGTGTCTGGGTCGCATTCAGCTCACAGAAGCCTGGATGAGCTCCAGAACCGGATCACAGGCGTCTCCCTCTCTCTAAGCTAAACTAGGTTGGGTGAATGGATATTAGCGAGTATGAGACCGCTGACAGACGCTCATTAGTATTAATATTATATTAACTGACCGATACTATTTTAACTGTCTGGTACACGGTAGTATTCTGTACTGTATTGTGATGCTAGCACACGAGTTTAAGCTAACATGGGTAACTCACCTATACCCCCCCCCTCCATTATGAATCTGGTCCATCAGAAGTAGTATTATAAACATTTAAAGGTTCCTCCGTGTCGGAGCTGCAGTAGAATCTATATTTTTCTCTGGATTAAGCTAACAGGACTCCCTCAGAGTCCCTTGGTTTGGCAAAAAAAACTTTCTCACAAAAATGTCTCTAAAAGCCTAAATAATTTATGTTTGTGTAAAAAATAATTAAACCGAGTTTCTATTATTATGTTTCTCTAAACATTGGTCCATGGGAGTCTCTAACCTGCAACAAGCTCTTTAAATGTTACAAAACTAAAGTTATGTGTTACAACATGTAATTACATGTTACAAAACAAAAGTTACATGTTACAACATGTAATTACATGTTACAAAATGTAATTACATGTTACAAAACTAAAGTTACATGTTACAACATGTAATTACATGTTACAAAATGTAATTACATGTTACAAAACTAAAGTTACATGTTACAACATGTAATTACATGTTACAAAATGTAATTACATGTTACAAAACTAAAGTTACATGTTACAACATGTAATTACATGTTACAAAATGTAATTACATGTTACAAAACTAAAGTTACATGTTACAACATGTAATTACATGTTACAAAATGTAATTACATGTTACAAAACTAAAGTTACATGTTACAACATGTAATTACATGTTACAAAACTAAAGTTACATGTTACAACATGTAATTACATGTTACAACATGTAATTACATGTTACAAAACTAAAGTTTCATGTTACAACATGTAATTACATGTTACAAAATGTAATTACATGTTACAAAACTAAAGTTACATGTTACAACATGTAATTACATGTTACAAAACTAAAGTTACATGTTACAACATGTAATTACATGTTACAACATGTAATTACATGTTACAAAACTAAAGTTACATGTTACAACATGTAATTACATGTTACAACATGTAATTACATGTTACAAAACTAAAGTTACATGTTACAACATGTAATTACATGTTACAACATGTAATTACATGTTACAAAACTAAAGTTACATGTTACAACATGTAATTACCTGTTACAAAACTAAAGTTACATGTTAAAACATGTAATTACATGTTACAAAACTAAAGTTACGTGTTACAACATGTAATTACATGTTACAAAACTAAAGTTACGTGTTACAACATGTGAATTACATGCTACAAAGTGAAAGTTACAGTTACAAACCATCTCACGAGTTACATGTAATATATTCCCAGTCCTACACCAATGGCTGTAGTAACAGATCAGATCCGTCCCTGTGGCCGTCTGGGAGGGAAGAGATTATTGAGGGATTTATTACTACATACCTGGTGTTGGGAGGAATGTCTAATTCATTTTATGTGACTTAATGTGTTTTAGTTTGAGGAGCTGATAGTCTCAGGGATAAACGAGCAAATGCTGTTTGTTTTCTGATTTTGTTTACTTTAGTTCTTCGTTGTACACAGTGTGATAAGGGTTTGTTTTGACAGTGAGCTTGTGGGCGGGTCTAAGGAAAAATAGGCTTCAGCTTGAGGCGGCTGCCTCTGCATGGTCCTAGTGCCTGATAAGTATCACATTATAACAGTTTTGTACGGTAAAATCTGACGAACGACTGGAAAAAGGTCACTTTAGGTACTTCGGACAAAAGGGGCAGCTGCTCAAGCGCCCCCCCCCCCCCCCCCTCTGCACATGCCTGGTTATCATTTCTGATGTGGGTTGGAAGCCAACACAAACACTCTACCCGAACCCGTCACACACACACACACACACACACACACACACACACACACACACACACACACACACACACACACACACACACACACACACACACACACACACACACACACACACACACACACACACACACACGCTCGCTCCGAGCCTGCGGCAGTGTGGACTGATGCTAGCTAAATTACGTGAACTAAGTCCACGTCTCTCTTACTTTGTAACTCTAGATATAGCGATTATAACTGCAACACTGCAGGTAGGGAACGATCTTCAGAAGCAGTTAAAAGTAATTATTTAGCTTACTCATCCAAGTGGTGATCAGCTGTGTGAATTTGGAGTCACCACACGGTAAAGTAGAGGAGACATTTAAAATGAAAAGTTACAGTGAAAACAGAAAAACCACAGTTCTAACTAAAGTGTGTAGTATAGGAAGCATAAGACACGCCCATCTACTTCTGGACCACGGGTCCCCGCAAGAACGAGAAAACGAACGCAAGTCAACGGGGCTAAAAACCACTCACCCCCGCCTGACCCCTCTCTGCACAGACCTGACTTGCCTCCCCTTTCAGCCCATTCTCAGCCCAGCACCGTAAGATCATTCCACTTTATTCTCTTGGTTCTCAGTTTCCTGTTTCTCGCCCCGTTTATTCTTCTGTTTTAGACCCGGAGTTACATCCTGTCTCGCTTATGGAACAGCGCCCTTAGTTTCCCTTCTAGTTTCTTTAACAATAAACTTTTTTGTAATTTCTTACCTGTGTTCCCGTGTGTGATTCTCTCATGCGGGTCAGGAAACTTCCACCCACCATGACACCCTATGGAGAGCAGATAGGTGGTGTCACTACAGTTTACAATGAAGAAGCTAATGAACATCCCAAATGATGATAAAGGATCACCGAACGTGTTACTGGATTAAACTAACTGATGCAATGTGGTCAGCATGTGTGCAGTGGTATGGCGTGTTAACCTGGTCCCACTGCAGTCAGTGTGTTTTAATATCTGAGCCGTTTCTGGTGAATCTATTGGCAGATGGTCCCTGAGCGCTGGCTCACCGGAGGAAGGTATCGCTGCAGACCCGGAGACCGCAGATTCAGGCCAACTGCAGATTCAGGCCGACTGCAGATTCAGGCTTGTACTGTTTTTGAGACAGCGCCGCCCACTGTTTGTTTGCTAGCATTCCAAGATGGAGTACGATTGGATAGAACGTGGAGAACAGTATTTAATTAGTAAAAAGGAAGAAAACCAAAAACATACCATCCAATAGGACCAATAATGATGCAGCTGGGTTTTAAATAAAGTTTTACTTGAATAAAATGTGTTCAGTTCATCATAGCAAAGTTCCACAGCATTCTGCATTGAATTAATGAGCCATGTGTGTTTTGGCCCATCAAGGTGTTACGAGGTGGTTGAGCTAAGGATGTCCAGAACCAGGAAATTTGGAAAAAGGTTTTTTATTTTTTTCTACAAACAACTTCAATTAGATAAATATGATAAAAGCTTTTATTAAAGGTTTCTCAGGAGTTTTCACATTTGTATTCTGAGAGCGACTTCACTGAAGCTTTAACAACGAATTAACTATTTTTAATAAGCTTCACCAGTCATTACATGTTTTTATATGTAATGGTTAAACAGCAGAAGCTTCAATCTGCAGTTGCAGTTACACGTTGGTCCTTTAGAGGGCGCTGTCTCAAAAACAGTACCAGCCTGAATCTGCGGTCTCCAGGTCTGCAGCGGTATACTCTTGCAGCGAGCAGAGGACGGCTTTCTTTAGGAGGTTGGAGCTTGTTCTCTACCTGCTTAGCTGTTATGTTCAGACGTTACTGAGCTGCAAAGTCCAGCCTGCGGGTCTTGCTAACTCTACCGTGAGAAACCACATCGGTACCGGCCCTGCTCTGAGCCTGGTACACATCCGTTCAGAGTCTAGAGGAGTCCTACCTGAGTCCCAGCCTCAGTCCAACACTTAAAGCTGCTGTTGGTTCTCTCACACCGCCTGTAGAAACACTAACACACACCTAAATCCACCCAGACACCTACCAGAACCTTCCTCCGGCAACTCCGTGTTGAGCTGTGCTCTTTCTCTGGAGGCAGCTTCAGGAGCAGTGCTGCCATCTACCGGCCAGGAGCGGTGCTGCCATCTACCGGCCAGGAGCAGTGCTGCCATCTACCGGCCAGGAGCGGTGCTGCTAAATGTTTTTGACTTTAAGTTTTTTTTATCTTAATTTTAAGTTTTTTCATGTACAAATTCACAAATACAGCACGTATCTTACAAATCAACAAGATATGAACAAGTACAGGTGGTTAAGAACAAAGCAGACATCGAACGAAGAACAGAAAAGAACAGTACAGGTCAGAAATAACAGAAAGCAGCATACAAGTACATTAAATGACCTTCCATATAAAGTAACAGAAATAAAACAAATAAAGTACGCACACACAGTCTAGCTACATCAGTTGAAAAGCAGCATCAAAAATTCAAGTAAGATGTGAGCTTTATTTCATTTACACTCATCTAATGAAGCCTTCAATAGAAGGACTTCATTTTTAAAACCAGCAAAAATCGGAGTAGTTCTTAAGAAGCGACATCTATGAATGAAACATTTTGCAACTTTAAATAAGTTTTTAATCCCAAATTATATTTTCTTATTTTCTGTTTGTAGGCCAAATCTTGTTACGTGGAAGGTTAGAGAAGGGCAGTCAATATTTTTAGAGGTTAACCAGTACTGAAAATCATCCCAAAAAGACCTGGAACATGAATAAAAAAGGTGCTCTGTAGTCTCAATATCAGTGTTGCAAAAAGTGCATGTGTTCGTATCTATACTGAATTTCTTGTGGAGATAGTCCTTGGACGGGTATTTGGCATTTAACATTTTAAAGTGATTTTCTTTTGCTTTTGGTGGAATTGGAAAAGAAAGATACTTGATCAAAACCTAGAATTACAAATATTTTCTTTTGAATTGAGAAGTTTAAAGTTGTTTGGTTAGAATTGTCCTTAAATATTTATTATTGCATGACTTTCCTTTAAATTGACGATCATCAATAATAAAGGACAGTTCACGAATTATAGAGGAAGAACAGGTTAAACTGGCTTTAGCCATCTGAATCATTGCAGGAGGAATGGCTTTCACATCTTGAATGAATTTACTTTGAGTACATGATACGCCATAATTATCTATGAATTTATTATACGATAATGCGTTGCCATCATTGTTTAACAGGAGTAAAACGGTCCAAGTTCCATGATCCATCCAGTCCTTATAACAAATGGATTTTCTTTTTAGCAATATACATCTGTTGTTCCAAACTGAATTTGTATGTGGAGAAAAATGATGCTTGTAAATCATTTTCCAGTACTGTTTATGAAAATTAGATAATTTAATAGGTATTTTGGAAATTTCAAAGTCACACTTTAAGAGAAATTCAATGTCACCAAGCTTCTCGAAAATTACTTTAGGGAAATAAAACCAAATACTGTTTGAGTTATTTTTGAAAGACTGCAACCATTTGAGTTTGATGGAACCATCCATTGCTTCAAAATCAATCGCATTCAAACCTCCTTCTTCAAATGATTTCACTACATCATTCTTCCTAATATAATGTTGCTTGTTTCTCCAAATGTAATTACAGTTCATTTGATTTATATTATTGATTAGTCTATTGCAGTGGTTCCCAAACTTATTTAGCCGCGCACCCCCTTCTATGTCCCGACCATGTCGACGCCCCCCCCCCCCCCCCCCGCCCCCACATCGGGGCATGGCTCTCTCTCTCTCTCTCTCTATATATCTATATATATATATATATATATATATATATCAGATGTCAAGCTAAACAGACAGGGTTAAAAAATCCCCCATCACTTTCATTTTTTAAATAGTAATTAATAAACATTCGATACCATTACAATTTCCTTTGATTTAATTTTAAATAAATATTTAGAGTGCCCAGGTAGCACATAAACAATGCAATTTAACGGTTTTCTTAAAGTAGGAACGTTTAACCTGAGCGGCCAGAGCGCTCTCCTTCCTTCTGCTCTGCGTAAACCTGAACTGATCACCTACTTGTGCGTAATCAAATATCTACAGGGGAAAAGATGGAAAGTCCATGAGGTTCACTTTTACCTCAGACCGACTTGTTGCTGTTTTATGGTGTGGCTGAATCTGCGATCCGCTGCCACGCTGACCGGAACAACAAATGCTGCAGTAACAGGACTTGTGGTCAGGTTCATGAGGAGTCACTGGCTGGAGCGGACCCGACTCATCCCAGAAGCTAATATCTTAATTTGACCTTGAATGAAAAATAACCTCTTAAAAGTTTTTATCATGGTGGAGGCAGCGTTCATTTCTGCCTTCAGTCTGACGGCGCGCTGGAGTTAAAGCAGCGTGTGCGCTTATTGAATCTGTGTGTGTGTGTGTGTGTGCGCATACGCGCGCGGCACAGCCGCTCAAGTCACCGCGTCTCGCGCTATTTAAACCAATGTTGTAAAATTCCTTCTGCCCAGCCCAGATGTGCTCACGTGTGCACCCGTGAGCCGTGGTTCAGCCGGAACGCGTCTGACCTCTGACAGACGCACTCTGAACTTCAGATCTTCAGCGCGCTGTTAATAGCCTGAATGGGAATCATGTCTTGTTATTTAGTTACATCCACAATGTTCTGTGTGTGAGGTTTACAACGTCAGAACTCCTGCATGAGACAGGTGTTAATTACAATCTGCCAGAATGACTCGCCACCTTCAGATTCCTCCAACACCGTTAAAAATGATCAAATACGGAACATATCGGCGTGCGCAGGCCAGAGTGCTGAAGCTCGGCGCATTGTTATTATGAAGCTAGGGCACATGTGGAGGACACGCGCGCGCTCAACAATATACTTGTTTTCAATTACATTTATTGGGCCCACTTACTTTTTCTTTGGCCCACCCGCAAATGAGTTTCTATGCTATGGTGACATCTGACAGACTTCTCTGAGCTCCGCAGCCATTACACTTTTCACCTCGCGCACCCCCTAGCGGCAGCTCGCACATGCACCACACTTTGGGAATCCCTGATCTATTGGAAACATATAAGCATTGTGATGGATGAATCAGTCGAGCGATACCTTCTGTTTTGGTAAGTAAGACGCATCCAAAGATGGAGAGGTCTCTTTGTAACCAGCTGATTAGGATCTTTTTAGATTTCTGGGTAATATGCTCAAAATTTAGATTTTCTCTATTATTTGTATTCTTTGAGATTATAATACCCAAATATTTAATTTCACTTTTAATAGCTATGTTAAGAGAGATACTGGGTTCACAGTCATGAATATTTAATAATTCACATTTTCTGATATTCAGGTACAAACCAGAGGCCTTTGAAAATAATGAAATTTCATTTAGTGTGAGAGGAACCTGTGACGTGTTCTTTAAAAATAGTGTAGTATCATCCTCTAATTGACTTATGATCAATGGGGCTCCCATCAAGTTCAGTGCTGGAATATTTGGATTGTGTTTCATGAAAATAGCTAAAAGTTCCATTACAATAATGAAAAGTAGTGGCGAAGCAGGACACCCCTGACGGATTCCTCGACTGACGTTAAATCGTGTTGCAACACATTCTCACTCCCAGCGCGTCAAAAACAAACGCTTGGTCAGCCACCCTCCGCCTCAGACCCCTGACGCCACAAGTGCCCTTTTCTGTTACTTATGTGCGAAAAGGGCTTTTTCCCTTTTCTGACTGCAGATCCCAATGCAGCGTTACACTGACGCGATGGGATGTCCGCAGCAAGGGCACCAAACAAGCTCATTGCACCTCACCTTAACCTTATCCTCTTATTTAACCTTCCCCTCACCCCTATCCTAACCCTAACCATGTTGCTAGTGAACGCGTTAGTGATGTGTCGGTCGCTCTAAAAGCCGGCTCTATGAAGTGAACGGCGGGAGCTGCCTCGTCATTGGTCGAGTTTGGACCGAGCCAACGCGAGGGGGAGGTTTCAACTACCACGGTGGAGGTTAAAAGTAGAGGGTATGTGTAATCTCCCCCTCGCCAGATGGTACGTTCTAACGTTCCTCTTGGGCGGCAAATATGAAAATTCAGTCAGAATGCATGGGAAACAGACGCTTGATCACAGTGAGAGTAACGTTTTAGGTAGCAAGAGGGTTAAGGTTAGTGTAGTGATATCTATGGTGGCTCTGCCCACAAGGGGGCAGTATTAGATAATCTATTTAAGGGTAGAGGTGAGCGTTGATGAGAGGATGATGTACAGCTGGAGAAGGAACACAATAAACATCTTTTGTGAAGAACCTGAAACTTGGTGCATACTTCCAGAAACATTACATGGTACCAGGAGAGGGGTGCTGCCATGGATAGTGTGCAGCCTCCAGAAGCTGTTGTCTGGACTGGAAATGTGGATTGTGAATGGCGTTCATTCAAGCAACGCTTCATGCTGTATTTGCAGGCTGTTGGCCTGGATAGCAAGCCTGATGTTCGCAAGATTGCTCTGTTGCTTACAGTGGCGGGACCCCGCGCTGTGGAGGTGTTTAATACCTTTGTCTTTGAGGATGAGGAGGACCGGCACAAGTTTGACGTTGTGTTGCAGAGGTTTGACGATCACTGCTCACTGAAGAAAAATGAGACATTCGAGAGGTACGTGTTTCGTGCACGTTTGCAGCAGCAGGATGAAAGCTTTGATGTCTTCCTGACGGATTCGAAGTTAAAGGCACGAACGTGGAATTTTGGAATTCTTCAGGATTCGCTGATCAGAGATCAAGTCGTGTTTGGAATACATGATACAAAAGAGAGAGAAAAGCTGCTGAGAGAGACTGATCTTACGTTGATTAAAGCTGTGGATATTTGCCATGCGTGTGAAATAGCCCGGCACCATGTGAAAGCTTTTGGTGACGGAGCGGGGGAGCAGGGAATGGAGCCTGATGTTGCAGCTGTTTCATGCCAACGGAAATGTGGACAGGACAAGGAGAGGTCGTTTTCCTGTCGAAGATGTGGGACGCGACATGCCCTGAGACAATGTCCCGCATTTGGCAGGATATGCAACAGCTGTAAAGGATTTAATCATTTTTCCAA